TTTGCCTCAGTTTCCTCATCTGTAAAATGAGCTGGAGAAGGAAATGGCAAATCACTCCAAGAAAACCCCAAGTGGGGTCACAAAGAGTCGGACACAACTGAGAACAACCGAACAACAATTACAAATGGTCTCAGTTTTCTTCTGAATCTAAAAGAATTTCGGTTGACCTTTATTTTGTGGACCCTCAAATTATATATAGCCAGTTCAAATTTCTTCTTCTCTAAGTGGGGACTTTAAATAATGGTTTATTTTAATTATATAGCTGAGGTAGAATACCAATTTTCTACTCAGGGATTATAGGAATAAGATAACATCAAAATGATCAAATTCACCAAGTTGTTATGAGAAAAGAATTTTGTGAATTTTAATGCAGTATAGAAACGTGAGCTATCATCATCAGCGAAGATTTTATCATTGAAGCCTCTGATGAATGTCTTGGAAACTCCTTTTTCATTTATAGCTTTAGAGAGTTGTCTAGAGGCGCTTAGAGGTTAAAGCAGAGAAATCAGGAATAATTGAATTCAAATCTAGTCTCAGTTTCTTCATCTGTAAAATCAAGCTATTGTACTAAATGGCCTGTTCAGTTCCTTCCAACCGTAAATTTATGAGCCTATGACTTGACTGTGGTAATTATAATAATACTGATAATGGTTAACATCCATATAGTGTTTACTATGTGCCAGGCACTGTGCTTAAACATATTATAATTATTATTTCCTGACAGGGCAAGGAGGCGGCACAGTGGATACAGCACCAGCCTTGGAGTCAGGAGGTCCTGAGTTCAAATCCAGCCTCAGGCACTTGACATTTACTAGCTGTGTGACACTGGTCAAGTCACTTAACCCCATTGCCTAGTTAAAAAAAAAATTTACTATTATCTCTGATCCTCACAACAGCCCTGAGTGGAATGGTCTGTTATTAACCCCATTTTACAGATGAGAAAGTTGAGACAAACAGAGGTAAAGTGACTTGCCTACTGTCCCATAGCTAGTAAATGTCTTTGAACTCAGGTCTTCATGACTCCTAGCCTGGCACTCTATCCACTGTACCACCTAACTGCTTAAATATGTCAGATGTACAATTTGAACCTCTTGCGGACTTCATGGCTAGCATCCCCCAAATTTGACCACAATGTTTCTCATATTTTTATTATTATACAAAGAGAAATATAAATATTTACACATATGCAAATATTTGACTAGATACAAAGTCCTGAATCTCAGAATACCAACTCCCTTAGTTTTCTAAAAGATGTCAACTGTAACGATTCGAATTTTTTAAAAAGTGAAGTATTTCCTAGCCTTGAAATTCTCAGCCCTTCTTTTGTGCTTTCTCTTCTTTTGTTTGATTTAAAACAAATGTCTCTAGTGACTTGTGTGTTGATTTTCCTGAAACTATGAAACTGTGACAGGTACATTGCAATCCACAGCTCTGAAAGATTTGTAATTTGAAATAGTAACCTCTAATTTTGTTGCAATCATTCTGTCATTTTTTTTCTCTAATACTTAAGAGTTTCATTCATTTGACTAATATTTTTCTACTACTATGATGTAGAAGGATGCCTCAGGCCCCAAAGTTTGGCTGCACATTCAGATAAGTTATTAGGGAAGAAATCATCTGTCTGGAAGAAAGTAGTCAAAATGTGTCTTTCACATTGTACAAAAACACGAGCAGTGTTTTTTGCAGTCAGGATAAGCACCAGCTTACACTGTCTCTTAAAAATGACAAATTTCAAATTTCATTAGAACACATATTTCAGTGGCCTGTCAGCTTTCTGCATTAGCTTAGGAGGCAAGAATCTTGTGCTCAAATCTATCCACTCATTTTTTTAACTATTTCAGGCAAGTCACTTAGATTTTCTTATTTTGTTTTTCCCTTTCTCTATTTCTCTCACCTGAAACAAGGGACTTAGTTTCCTTCTGTTTATATTTCTTTCCTTCTCTTTGTTCTAATATATTTCCTTCCTAACCTTCTATCTATGCATCTCACCTGCTAAATTCCTCTGCTCACTGCAGCCCCTTTCTAAGTAAGCTATCCAACTCAGAAATCTTTAATTTATATTTTACCTCATGCCAAGCCTAATCTTGGTCTATGAAAAAGAGTGTTGTATATCTTAAACACAAGGTGAAAATGTATCTTTTATACATTAATTGATCATAAGGACTATAAGGTCAGGGACCAGATCTTATATTTATGACTTATTCTATATGTCTTATACTGCCAAAGATGGCACCATTCAGTAAGCAATCAATAAATATTTAAATTGTTTAAACTTTTAAAAACGCTTTTTAGCCATTTTACCAGAAAGCTGCTGATGTATAATAAGTCATTGTCATATTCACAACTATATACAAGATTAGTTCATGACTTGGCCCCTATCTCCTGTGTTTCTTTGGTTGTCTCTGTGTGTCATTAGCATCTTTCTGCCCCAGGAACTAACTGCAGAAAAAGAGCTGCTACATTATTAACTAACTCCTATGCTTAGTTTGAAAAAGGTAAAGTTTCATGTCCTTTAATCCAATACCGTCCAATCTGGATGTGAGCCCAGAAAGTAGTCCTTCCTTATAGAATCTAGTGTGTCACAGTTTGACTCTCTGGTGTCCTTTAAAGAGTCTTGAAGGTGACCGTATGCTTCAGTCTGTAGGAATCAAGTTGCTTCATTGTCAGGCTGCCAACTTTCTTTGTAAATAAGGTTTATGCATTTCTTTAGATCATTTTGAATTTAAATCAGACAAAATAAAAACATTGCATATAGCATAGGTAAAATGTATGCTAAATATCTGTTCTGCATGTTTATCATTACAATAAAACATGATGTGTAAATAAATATACATAATAAAGAAAAATGTATAATTGTCTACATGGATGATATGCTACATTTTTAGAATGCTCAAGTTTTGCTTTATCCGTCTACAAAAATGACAAATAGGACTTCAACAGCAAAAAGAAAGTTTTATCTCACATATATAAATTTATGATTCACATTGGCATGCATTCAACTGCTTGGTGATTTATTTATTTGTAAATGTTACATAAATGCTGTCAACCTAAGAAAAAAAATTCAGTCAATTTAAGGGATACCAAAGCGATTGCAAATGATTTAGTGGTTTGGTTGGGTCAAATCCCTGTGTACTTCCGATCTACGATCGTTATTTATTTGACATTTCTAGAGCACTTTGTATTGCAGAGTGCTCAACATTTATCTTTTAGTTAACCCTGAAATGATGCTAGGTAGATGGATAGCACACATGTTTAGACTAAAGGAAAACAAGATACTGCAAAAATTATAGGATGTTTTTTAAATAAGTCATTTGAAAGGGTGGTACACACATCTTGATGAATCTGACTACCTGATATATGTGTCACTTAGTCTACATTTCCTTTAGAAGTTTCTCAGGAACCAATTCTCATCTCAAATGGCACTGAGTAACAGGAAACTTCTGAAATTCCCAATTTAACCTCTGGTTTTCTTTGTTTTACAGGAAATTTTTTCCATAGTTCCCTTTTTTTTTTTTAAGGTCAACTGCTAATGATCATTCAGCTCTCCTAAATTTCACACAATAAGTAATTCATTTCCTCTCCATTAAGGCCCCAGCCTTCCCCTATCTTCAGTTCTCTGGAAAGCTGTGTGTTGGAGCCATAATTAGAAATTCTTTCACCCGTGAAAAAGGGAGAGGGAATGGTAATACAAGGATAATGAGGAGGGTGGTAATAAAGAGGACAGTCAAAAGATAGGTTGTACTGGGAGAGGAGGAAACCCCTAACCCTAAGACACAATTGTGCTCACATAAAGATTAGGGAACATAAAAATAGGCCTCTAGGAGATGGGCACCATGGATACAGTCTTCCAGGAATAGTGCTAAGTAAGGAAACAAGGTCATGCTATGTAACACTATCTGGTAAAAGACTATGTAGTATGAGGATGGCTGTCTCCAAACAGCCTCCAAGAGGAAGCAAATCTTCCCTTTCCCTGCCATGTGAACTGCCTCAGAAAAACCCTGATAACACTACCTGAGTTATGGCTCTTCTGTGCGGGCTACTCAGGTCAGGATGCTTGATCTCCCTAAAAAAAAAGATTAGCTATCCATGAATAGCAGAAAGAGACTGACTAGACCTTTCTCATACAATTATTTGTTTCTGTGATTTCTTTTAGACAAATATACTTTTCTTGCCTTCCATAATTCTTTATTATTTTAGGTATATAGGCATGTACATATTCTATGTATGTATCTATATATATATATAGTTGTATCTCTTTACATATACATATATACTTGAACATAACCAGGTTGAACTTTTTGATAGATTAGTCAAAAATTAGGACACTTTTTTTTGGGGGGGTAATGGGGGTTAAGTGAATTGCCCAGGGTCACACAGCTAGTAAGTGTTATGTGTCTGAGGCTGGATTTGAACTTATGTCCTCCTGAAACCAGGGCCAGTGCTCTATCCAGTGTGCCACCTAGCTGCCCCTAAAATTAGAAAATTTCTTGCATGGAGTCTACAGAATCTAAATTTTTTTCCCCTTGTCTCTGCTCTCCCTCTCCCACTGTCTCTTTTATTCTCATTATTTGTTTCACCCCTAAGAATTCAAAACAATATTAAACCATATTCCAAGGCTATAAAAGAAACTTTAAAGATAACACACACACCATTCTTATTTCTCTCTATAAGTGTTTAGTTTAAAAAAACACTCTATGAGAGAGAATAATAATGAAAGATAAAACTCTAGGAACTTGGGGTTATATATAGGGTAATGAAAGCAAGAAAAGCAGTAGAAAGAGACTGAACTTTAAAAAAAAAGTTGGCCAAATTCATGGTATTGGTCAGACTGTAAATTCTGGAGAGGCTGTTCTTCTCTTTAGGTTAATTTATGTCAGTGATCCAACACAACAAATATTTGATGTTGGATTTCCTCAATGATTTAGTTCAATCTGTATGGGAAGATGAATTGGCAATTCTACTTCTCTAATTTTTATTTTCTCAAACTATTGTCTTCTTAGTGTCCTGAATTCAAAAGACCCAGGGACATTGCTGTTGATTGGATTGCTGGAAATATTTACTGGACAGATCACTCTAGAATGCATTGGTTTAGTTATTACACCACTCACTGGACAAGTTTAAGATATTCAATAAACGTGGGGCAACTGAATGGTCCCAACTGTACCCGGCTCCTTACAAATATGGCTGGAGAACCCTATGCCATTGCTGTCAATCCTAAAAGAGGGTAAGTCAAATAACTTATTGTTTAAATTTTTAGTTACAACTTAAAAAATAAACAGTTTTTGAATTTATTCTAAAAAGTTCATTATTTTGGAAAAAATAGGAAAATCATTCAACGTATTTTTTTTTAAGTTTCAAATTTCTGAGTCATTCTGAGTCATATGTGAATCATTGTCATGTTAATTTATACTTCAAAGTATAATTGATATCTCAAAGATTCCTACTGGGGCAAGCAATGACTTTTTTTAAAAAATAAAACAATGAAACAAATATGCTAAATATACAATTGCTATTAATATATAATTGAGTTTTAGAGATGTTAACTATTCCATTTCAGAAGAGTTTATGACTCTGCTGCCTCCAATAATAAAGAATGAACATAGATGGATGAACAAAGATCAAAGATAATTGCCAAATATTATTTTAATTGAGTTTCAACTTCATCCTCACTAAATATTTTAGAATAGATTCTAGCATGGATTTAAATTGATTGGCTTAAGTGTCCCTCTTTTCTTCCTAACCTTCAGGTAGAAATGTAAGTACTTAGCCCAATGACCCAAAGGGGAGGTATTAGGAAGAGTAATAAAGATTTTTTGTAAGCCCCTAATTGGATCATCAGACTCTGAATAATTGAATCAACACTTTATATTTATTTATTTATTAGGTTTATGTGGCACCTTTCCTCCTACAAGAGGAAATCACTTCTGTTGGAAAAAATAATTCCCTTTCTGGAAATAATAAATCATTTTGATGTACACTTCAAAATAGGCCAAGTATTCTAAGGGGGTGTAAACAGAATGAGTTCATGATAAGAAATCATTACATGAAGATAGATGCCCAGAAAGGCAGAAATATTTTCAATCTGAGCTTGTAAGGTAATTTTCCCAATTGATTATTGGACATCAAATCATGAGACACTGTTTAGTCTGCTGAGAAATGTCACAGACAAGCAGCATTAACAGCACACAGGACCATAGAGGGCTCAACTCTTTTACCTGCTGTCTTTAGGATGATGTACTGGACTGTTGTTGGGGACCACTCTCATATTGAAGAAGCAGCCATGGATGGTACTCTAAGAAGAATTTTGGTACAGAAGAATTTACAGAGACCTACAGGTATGATACATTTTTGCCATCTTCTAAGGGATGAGGTAGACTTATCACCATGTTGGAGATTAGATTCTAATTCTGCTGGCCATTTTTTTTCCCTTGGAAGGAGAATAGACTAGCAATTACCAGTTGTCTTAAGCACTGTATTTTCATGGTTGGTAGTCAAATAATTTTGAGTGTAGTCTTATTAATACTTCTCTGTATTTTCTAGTCTATAAAATAAGGTATTTTCATCTACATTATGATGTTTAATCAAGTTGTAGAATATAGAATGTAAGTTCCATAAAAGCAGGAATGGTTTTCTTTGTTTTTGTAATGCCAGCTCCTAGCACTGTGTCCAATACATAGAATGTGAAAATTTTGAGGGCAGAGACCACATTTTTGCCTTTCTTAGTACCTCAGTGGTTATCACTGTGGCAGGCATAGAGTAAGCACTTATTAAATGCTTATTAACTGACAGACAGAGCAGATAATTAATGATTTTTGAAATTAATTGCATAATTATTAAATGTTTTAGATTGTAAAAAAAAAGTTAAATGTCATACTTTGTGCTAGTTTGTAATAATGGCCTCCAAGGAAAGACTATCTCTGCCCTAACCCCAGCGTTTCCCTAATTAATGGACAACACCAAACCATTTCAGATTACAATTACCACTCTTCTTTTAATTCACAGAGCTGTTTATACAACTAATTTAACTCTCTGTAATGTCTTTTGACCACTACCATATATGTGGCATGACCATTGGTCCCCTACCCAAATCTGGAAATGCAGTTCTTTTTACTCTTTAATTAGTATTCAGATTCACAGCTTGGAGAACCCACTAATGAACTTTTATGCCAGATAGTAATAAATGACATGGATTTAAAGCAAACAAAACAGAACAATAAGTTAATAACATGGAATTTATTCAGGTAGTAAGTTTTCTCAACATCTAAACCTGGACGACTACTATCTCCTATGCTTCCAAAGAAGTTTGAAAGTCAACTCTCCATTTAATCCACCTCCATCCTCAAGAGAGTAGTTGAAGGACAGAGTTCAAACTCTCAGTATCAGTTCTATAGTTTGAAGTCTGATACTGTATAACCTATTCGTTTCTCTTCAACTCTTCAGTCTGGTAGTTTACAAAGGTGCAGCATACATGGCCCCACAGCGACCATCATGGTTCAGAAACAGTGTTGGAGTTTAGGAAAGTCATGCCAGGTCCATATGTATACCATCTTCTCCAAGGTTTTTCCATTCCTGCCCAAGGGGAAAAGAGGCTAACCCTTGTTCAAGCGCAGTGAAGGGTCAGTGAGTGAAAGAAGGAAACAAGCATTTATTAAGCACCTACTATGTGTCAGTTACTATGCTAAGCCCTATAGATATTATTCTGTTGGATCTTTACAACAACAACCCTGGGAGGTAGACATTTTTATTATCCCTATTTTACCATTTGAGGAAACTGAGGCACACTGAGGTTAAGTAATTTGCCCATGTCACACGGCTACTAAGTGTCTGAGGCCAGATTTGAACTTATGTCTTCTTGACTCAGATCAGATGCACACTAGCACCTTAAGCCTTCCAACTCCTGCTTGCCATAGCATGTCCCCTAAGGAAAGGCTGCAAAGAGCAAGATCAGGCATCTTCCATCTGTTCAGGAAGTCTACCACTTCCTGCTGCTACTTCATAGCCAACTTCCTCAGGTGAAAAGAGATCTGACTTGTCTCTAGAGCCTTGTGCCTTCCATCTCCTGCTGGGGGCAGCATGTCCCCTGAAGAAAGGCTTCTAGGGGACAGATGGTATCTTCCATCTGCCCCCAAACCAACGACTTCCACCTCTGCCAACACAAGGCCAGTCCAGTCTCCCTAATGGGATATGAAGAACCTCAGTGCAAAGAAAAGCAACCTTTCTTTTGACTTGGGCCTTGCATCTCCTGCTGAATATGTTCTGTGAGTAGAGGAGTATCACTCTCCATTCAATGATGAACATTCTCACACCTGGTCGTACCAGTGATTCTGAACTCCTATAGGTCATCATCCGAATTCTGTGTTACACCTCCCTCCATGCAATTTCTCATTTCCATTTGCCTCAATCCTCCCACTTAGAGTTTCAACCTAACTCCATCCAGCCCTTCCACTGTGCCCTCTGGAATGCCTGTTCCATAGGCAACAAACTTCTCTCCATCTTAAATCTTTTCTTATTTTACTCCTTCCATCTATTAGCTTTTACTGAAACCTTACTTCCACCTGATGACTCTGACTCCCAGGCCACCTTTTCCAGTACTTGCTGCACTTTCACTCATTTTCCGCAGCTCACTGGCTGAGGCAGGGGAATTAGAATACTCCTTGCTCCCCTTTGCCACTTTCAGTATCTCCCTCTGCCTCTATCACTCAATAACCTATCTTCATTTAAGATTAATACCGTTCATATCTACTACCCAATCAAAATCCTGGGAGCTATTTTCTACAAACCCCTAGACCACTCCCTTTCTTCCCTTACAGTCTGGCTTCTGACCTTATCATTACATTAAAACTGCTTTCTTCCAAATTACTAATGATCTCTGAGTTGCCAAATCCAGTGGTCTTTTCTCAATCCTCATTCTCCTTGACCTCTCTGCAACCTTTGAAACTGTTGTTCACTCTCTCCAACTTGATACTCTCTTCTGTCTAGGTTTTTGGGACACTATTCTCTCCTGGTTCTGCTCTTACATATTTGACCACTTCTTCAGTGTCTTCTTAATTGGATCCTCTTCCAGATCATGACTTCTAACCATAGGTGTCTCTCAGTGTTCTGTCCTGGGCCCTCTTCTCCCTCTATACTACTTCACTTGTGATCTCATGAGCTCCCATGAATTTAATTACCATCTCTATGCTGAGGATTCTGAAATCCACTTTTCCTACCCTAATTTCTCTGCTGACCTCCAATCTTACATCTTCAGCTGCCTTTCGGATATCTCAAACTGAATGTCCAGTAAACATTTCAAACTCAATATGTCCAAAATAGAACTCGTTATCTTTCCCCATGAAGCCTCCCTTTCTATTCACTCATGCTCACAACCTAGGAGTCATCCTGGATTCCTCATTATCCCTTAACCATCATATCCAAGATGTTGTCAAGGCTTGTTGATTTCCCCTTTGCAGTATGTCTTAGGTACCCTTCTGTCCCTGATACAGCCACCACTCTCATGCAGGCCTTCATGGATAATTCAATACTCTGTTGGTGGGCCTGTTTGTCTCAACCTTCTCTGTACTCCAATTCATCCTCCATTTATCCACTAAAGTGATTTTCCTAAAGCACAAGTACAATCATAACACCTTCAATCAATAAACTACAGTGGCTCTCTGATGCCTTCAGGATCAAATACAAAATGTTCTGTTTGGCGTTCAAAGCCCTTCATAATCGAGCATTTCCAGTGTTCTTATACCTTATTCCCTGACACGTACTCTTTAATCCAGTGGCAGACACTGTTCTCCTGGATGTTCCACAAATAGGACACTCCATTTCCCAACCCTGGGCATTTTCTCTAGCTATGCCTCATGCCTGGAATACTGTCCCTTGAACTCCCTGGCTTCCTTTAAGTCTCAACCAAAATTCTATCTTCTATTTGAAGCCTTATTCAACCCCTCTTAATTCCAATACCTTCCCTCTGCTAATTATTTCCTATTTCTTCCATATGTAACTTCTAGTGTATATATTTGTATATCATCTCCCTCATTAGAATTGTATGATGCTTGAGGGTAGCAACTGTCTGCCTCTTTTTGTATCCTCAGTTCTTAGCACAATGCCTGACATATAGTAGATGCTTAATAAATGTTTATTGATTAATTAATTGACTGACTTCAGGCTCAGCACTCTTCTATTCTGTGCCACCTAGCTGCCAAGGGATTCTAATTAGTATTAGAGAAGATGGAGTCAAGGCCAGATGTGGAAGCAAGTGAAGCTGTAGTGAAAGAGGTAGACTAGGAGAACAGGCAACTAAAGGTTCTGTACAGAAGTCGAGTAGGTTTGTTGAGAGTAAGAAAGATAGAAGGATAAGAGCTTTAAGATGGACAATGTAGTTTCTGAATTCTGGCTCTGAAAAAAAATAGCAAGGGCTAAAGTGTAGCCATATTAGGATTTTGATGAAGTACAGAGGAGAAGGAAGCTTTTAAAATTGAGGAAGGAATGACCAAGTTGCTAGAAGTATCATCATCATCATGAATATCAACTTCAGCATGATTGCAAAAGATGGCTTAGAGAGAGGGGAAACTGAGTCAAATAACAAAGTCATTGAAAAAGTCATGGGAATGATATGGAGGTCAGGAGATGATAACAACAATGCAAAGGGTAGTATAAATGGGTTAAAAACCCCTCTGAAGAAAAAAGGTCATTGGGAAATTGTGGTAGAGGAATTCTCTGAATTCAAAAATAGTTAGCAAGTGTATGTCCCACTAATTTTCACCTCTTTAGGAAGATTAGCCATGAGGGGTGAGGGTTGAAAAGGATAATATGGCTTAGAGGAAGAGTCAAGCTTCTATTGAAGTAAGGAGGCTGGAAGGAATATGGGTTGAAAAATTCAGTGGTGCAAGGGGTTTTTTACCTCAATAAGCATTTATTAAGTGCTTTTTGTTTACTAGGCATTGTGCTAGACACTGATAATACATACAAAAAAGAGTCCTTACTCTCTGAGCTATCAGCATAAACATGTATACTTATAAATAATATAAATATACCTGCATTTAAATATATATGAGCATACATATGGACATATACATATGGAGGTATGTATATATGTATACAAAATAATTTTGTGACAAGAGGAACAACTGGAGGGATCAGGGAAAAAGTGTTATTTGGCTTGTTAGCTCTGAGGGAAATAAAAAGAAAAAAAAGCTATGACTTGTATTAGGCAGAGGTGAGAATGGAATATATTTTATACACAGGATTACTAAGAAGATAGAACTATAAGCAGACCAATTTTACTAGAATAGGAAGGGGGTAATGGAAATATGCCTACAAAGGTAACCAAGACCCAGATTGCAATGGT